AAAACAATTAATAAGTAGAATATAATGTATTTTAATAAATAAAAAAAATATGTTAAATTATTTGAATAAAATAGTAGTAGTGTATCGAATTCATTCGGCTCCATAGCATCTTTTGGGTATAACGCACCTGAAAAATATTATGAAAATCAATCAATAAATAAAAAAATTAATAACTAAAAGAAAACGATAAATTAAAAAGATCAACAAATAAAAAAATCCTACATAAAAAAATCAATAAACAACAAAATCAACAAATAACTATGAAATATATTGAAAAATGAATAAAATAAAAAAAAAAACAACCGAAAAGCCGGAAGTCCAACAACCAAACCTTAAAGCTACGGGACGCGCGGGGACGGAGGGACAGGACTGAAGATCCCCAGACTCCCATGGGTGCACAGGTGACCTCCTGTTCACTTCTTTAGGAGCACAGGAGCTTTCCTGGCTATTCCTTAGGTGAGCACATGTGATCTCTTGTCCATTCCCATGAGAAATGTTTATCAGGGCATAACTTGCAAACCATCTAAAGTAGATAAAAACGCAATGTTTTTTAGCACTGTACCTGTTCCCAAGTTTGGTGACGTCTTTGTAGGATGCTGTAAGGTCTTGTATGCAGTTCCAATGAATATAGTTCTGGGATGCTCCACTATGGTGGACTGCAGTCACATATAGGCCCGTGGCATTTTCCCTGAAGTTCTATGATGATCCACGAGACACCGTGAGAGGTCCCACGAGAGCACATACGGGTCACATATACACTCTCATGGGAGCACAAGGGTCACATGTCGGCTCCCAGGGGAGCGCATGGGTCACATGTTAGCTCCCAGGGGAGCTCACGGGCTCCCCTGACAATTCCCCAGGGGTGCACATGTGATGTCGTGTCATTCCCCTAGGAGCACATGTGATCACATGCCATTCCCCTGGGAGCGCATGTGATCACATGCCATTCTCCGCATTCTCGTGAGAGCGCATGTGATCACATGGATTGCATTATGCAAAAAGGAACCACTAGCATTGCAATGTTGCTAAGATTGTGCAACTTCTTTTGTCTTGGAGGAAAAACCCGATTATCCATTCATAGTTTCTATTTTACTCGCTAAAAACTGTAAATTTAAGACAAAAATTACCATCTAGATTTCATAGTTTTTCACGATTTCCGCAATCTTATTGCAAAAGATGAAGTTGCACAATCTCAGCATCATTGCAATGCTAGTGGTTCCTTTTTGCAAAATGCAATCCACATGTCATTCCCATAAGAAGATGAAGATGAAGTTGCACAATCTCAGCATCATTGCAATGCTAGTGGTTCCTTTTTGCAAAATGCAATCCACATGTCATTCCCATAAGAATTTTTTAGCAGGGTTAGTAATGACGTTTGTACTTCCCACTCCAAATGCTTCCATAAAATTATGATTTTGTGCGAGAGCAATTTTAATCGGATCTTTGAAAAGAATAAGTTCACGGTAAAACCTTTTCTAGAAAACGATATGATTAGAATCATTATTTCAACTCACATTACTGTCGGTGAGAAAACAGGTACTGCGTTACTGCTGCTGCTGCTGCCAGCAGCGTACAATTGACCCCTTTCTGCTTTCTTCCTTTGGATGTTGAATGCTGCACTTTCCAACTTCGTTGGTCGCCATTAGATCGAGAGCTCACCCGAAAAATTTAAACCGAAAATATCTAAAAATGGCACCATTTTTTTTCGATGTCTTTTTTGTTGATGTCCAAAAATCTGTCGGTCTGACAGGTCATATCGGTGACGCTTAACGGCCATGTAACCTCAAATTTAAAAAAAAATTGTCAAAATTTAACTGGAGAGAGCTATGCATGAAATTTTCATCATCATGTAGATTTTATGCCCATAATGCAGATGAATCGGTCTGGCAGTCGAAATCGGTGACCGAATGGTCGCCAGACCAATTTAAAATTTGAAAAATTTCCGAAATTTTAACTGGGGAGATCTACAGATGAAACTAGTCTCATTGTATTAGAAACATTGCCACGAATCGATATCACAGGCGGTCGCGGCAGTCGATATCGGTTACTAAAAGGCTTGCCGGACCGCCCTAAAGTTGGAAAATTGCATTGTAATTTATATCTAATGAGGCACTAAAGCTCGCGTGAGTAATTGAAACGCTGTGTGAACTTGGTTTCAGTCATCCTTTTGAATTTAATCCCTGAAATGAAAATGGCTGGGCCTGGTGTCTGAAGCAAGTGACGTTATGGTCACCTTTCAAAAAAATTTAAAAAAAAAAAAAAAATCGAAATTTTAACAGGAAAGATTTACTGATGAAACCAGTCTCATTTCATTGGAAAAATAGTCACGAAACGACATTTATCGGTCCAGCAGTCGATATCGGTGACCATATGCTCGCCAGACCGTCCTAAAAGTAGAAAAATTGAATTTTAATTTATTTTGGGGTACCAATGGATTGTGAGTTTTAAAAGGGCTGCATGAGTACGGTTTTAGCCACATTTTAATCATTCGTCAGAATTTAATCCGTAAAGTACCTTTGTATTAAAGTACCGAAGACCCAGTGTTTCGGTAGCTTACCGACAATCGATAGAATAGCTCTATTGGGTGGTGGTCGCCAATAAACGATCCTCACGGACCACGCAGCGGCGCGAAAAACCGCAGAGGTACACTCAGAGTTAAGAAATTTCATGACAGATTATAAAAAGAAATTTCATAATGAAATTTCATGAAGTTTCATGAAATTTCGTGAAATTTCATTTAATACGCAGAATTCAGGATTAAACCCTTGAAACTTATGAATCTCCTTAAGTTCATTTATAGGCACGTGGTAAACTGTGAACAGGAACTTTAGAAATGGCCAGAAAGTTGAGTGAAACAGCAAAAACATAATTTTGAATTTTTTATCTTCAATTTTGGTTGAACACACAGCCGTACCGGTTGAACACCAAAATAAATTTTACGGATAAAGTAAGACGTTAGCTTTCATATTTGGAGCAAAACAAATTTCTTGACTATAAAGAATCCTAGTACCCCCTAATAATATATCGTTCTTTTTTGGTACAAAAGAGAGGGATCTTGAACTATCTTTGAAACAATTTAAATGATTTTTTCATTTGTCTCTGATTTTTTCAGAAATTAACAGTTTGAAATTTGAGGTTAGGGTCCCCGGTCCCCCTCCCCATGATGAGCCAGAACTGCCAGAAGAGAAAGAGTAGTAAGAGAAGACCAGAAGAGAAGAGCTGAGAGAAGACCGCGCTCCAACTGGTCTAATTGACGAATATTATTCTCTTTGAAAATAAAAACAAATTTTGTTAGAAAAAATAAGCATTTTTGACATTTTGTCGGTCGAAAGAAATTTCATTGGGAAAAAAGAAATTTCTTTTAGCAACTCTGGGTCAAAGACATAAAGACGGAGCGCTCGTATCTAAAAGCACGGGGAAAAAGTGAAGCTAGGTTCGGCGCTGCGCGCTTGTGTGAGTGTGTAAATGAGCGCGGGAATCCATGGCGGCAAACGGAAATTTGATTTGAACTTGTCCTCTTGATTTTTGCATATTTCTTCTTCGAAACGTATTTTAAATTCCTAAAACGAATATACTAAGAAAGTTCGGTCTGCGTCCTAACATAATACACCTACTTTTGCTCGGTAACAGGCAGTAATCTCAGATAAAGTTAGTTTTTCTTCTGCTCATGGTGGTTCTGCAGGTTCAAACAGGCCGTTACAGTTCTAGATCAACGTTACTCCCAAATGAAATTAATCGGTCGACGACGGACGGAAACTAACCTAGAGTTAAAAAAATATGAGTTTGTACCTGAATTTGGGCAAAAATCAACCTAAAATACTTTGTTTCCGCAATTATTTTATTCAGTTCCCGCCCTATATTTGAATTCAAACTTGTCCCGATTTCGCCGCCAATCCTCTAGCCAATAGTAGAGGTGGTTGAAAAGAAGCTTCATTTTTTGCTTTTAGCCCTCCGTCTATATGTCTTTGCTCTGGGTACACTCCGATTCCGCGCTAATATCAGTCATAAACCTTGAGACGGAAGCAAAAATCCCCGTGGAAATCGGAGCAACCAAGAAGAATTGATTTACGAACATAGATTTCATTTCCGGATTTATATATTAAGTATTACGACGATTAAACTGATGTACCTAAATATGAAGATATTAAGATTAAAATTAAGATTTTGCTATTTTTGTTAACCTCCCATATTGGAAATAGTGAAAAGAACACTTTGTAGGCCCTTTATACAAAAATTTAAATACATACTGTGTAGGTCGAATTCCGTATTGGTTCAATTTTCTGTTGGTCAGAATGTGTGAAGGTCTAAGCTATGTATGCTAAGCTTTCATAGGACTGGAATGAATTTAGCTACAACGGCCGCCAACTACAATGGCCGCGACANGGGGGGGGGGGGTGATGGGGAAGGGCGTCCAATTGCTCTTTTATTAAGTCGAATGAGGATGGGGTCGCTTGCGTGGAGTAGCATTTGGCGGCACTTAAGCCCAGTGTGCGGCGGAGCGCCGTACCCGGATACGGCGCTCATTGTAGTTGACGGCCGTTGTAGCTAAATTCATTCCAGTTTTCATAGGTCAAGGGACAGGTAACCTAGTTTATACCCAAGTAGCAGAGGTTGCAACAACTTGCAACAAAATCGTTTGATTCTTGCAACTAATAGATTGATGTGCAGATTGCTTACTCTTTCCCCCGAAGGAGCTATCATCGTCGGAACTAGTTGCAATTAAGTTGAAACATGTTTCAACTTCAAAGTATTGCTGGTTGCCTATCTTTAGATTTTAAACAACTTTGGTGCAGCAATTTTGGAATCTCAGCAGGTGCACCTTTGTCTTCCGATCAGATCGCCGGAAATCGGCAATTATCGACCAAAAGTTGACCGAAAGTTGCAATTTTGTTGCAACTAATGCCAACATTGTTTCAATCTGTTGCAACTTTTACATTGAAAAATGCTATTTGGGTAACTTTGTAATGTCACTAACTTTTAAATCAATTTCCATTTAACAGGGTATTTATTCTGTCTCTGTTCATACCATTGACATGGGTTACATATCTTAGTTCCATTATGGCCGGTTGCATGGCTGCAATTTTGTGGACTGGTCATGTCAATTACTTAGTGTTGAATTCAGAACCATACATGATTGCCAAGTGTTCAGGCCTATTCTCTGCAATTTTTCAACTAAGGTATGTTCCTTGTATATTTAGAATGCTGCATGAAATGCATGATTTTTTCTTCTTACTTTCAGGAATAAAATCATTCATGTATGTATTGAAAAAAATGAATGGACTGAATGCTTAAAACAAAAATTACAAAGAACGATGTAAAAATCAAGCATAAAGGCCAAAAATAATGCTTTTAGGTCGTTTGGTTTACTAAAAGCTGGTCTACAACGACGTCTAATAAATTACGTCTAATGAGAAAAAGTCTAATTTATTAGGTCCACAGATAGTAAGTCTGAGAAGTCGGTCGTGTAACCCAAGTAGCAGTGATCGCGATAAATAGCGATTTTATCGGTTGGTTATCGCGATTATTTCGATGGCAATATATATCGAGATATTATCGCATAAAAAATTGCGATAGATGGCGATGAAATCGCTACACATCGCAATTTTTGGTTCGATAAAATCGCGATCAATTTTCGCCAATAAAATCCAGATTAAATCGCCACTTATCGCGATTTTTATTTTGGAATATCGCGATAAATTGTCCGGCGATAAAATCGCGATTTTATCCGGCCGATAAGATCGAGGATAATAGCTCATCAGATTTTAATGATCCTAGCGATTTTATCGCCGATAAAATTGGAATACATCCCGATTTTTCCGTTGAAAAATGCTACTTGAGAAGAATTAAGAGCTCACCCTGGTAAAAATAGCCATAAAGGCGATAGAGAAATCTTGTGGCCGGCTGTAGGATTTTCTATAGCTTTTACAGCTGGCGATATGATTTTCTTATCGCCCTTATGGCCGGCGATAAAAAGCTCTATCGCCACGAATGGCCGGCGATGGAACGCTCAATCGCCGGCTATAGCCACGAATGGCCGGCGATAGAACGTTCAATCGCCGGCTATAGCCACGAATGGCCGGCGATAGAACGTTCAGTCGCCGGCTATAGCTACGAATGGCCGGCGATAGAACGTTCTACAGCCGGCGATAGCCACGAATAGCCGGCGATAGAACGTTTTACAGCCGGTGATAGCCACGAATGACCGACGATGGAGCGTTCCACAGCCGGCGGTAGCTATGAATAGCCTGCGATAGGGCATTCAATAGCTGGCCATTTGTGGCTGTCACTAGATAGGTAGTGGTGGTAGGATAACGGCAATAACCATCCGCTGCCAAGACAGCCATCTTTAGCCGGCAACAGAATGTTCAGTGTCTGGCGATTAGAAATACGCGTGAGCACGAGGGGCAATTAAAAAAGTAATTTTTTTCGAAAATCATCATAAGCGCCAGTGAATCTATCCTGAAAATTTCTTTTCTATAAATATTTTTCTTCAATTTTTTCTCAATATACTTTTCGATAATTTGATTTGATTTGATTTTGATTTTTTTTTTATTTGAATCGACCATATACACTGTTAAAAATCGTTGATTCCGTCCGACGGAAAATCCGGAGTGAGAATGAATAGGGGAGTGAGATTCAGAGCATAGGTACTGAGATGTGTCGCATGAAAGCGCAAAGCACTCCGCGCACCGGAGATTCAGTTGGGTCCTATAAGCAGAGTTAAGAAATTTCGTGAAAGATTATAAGAAGAAACTTCATGAGGAAATTTCAAGAAATTTCATGGGGAAAAAAGAAATTTCATGAAATTTAAGAAATTTCACGGGGAAAAAATTCTTTCCGCTGGAAAGTGAAATTTCATAAGGCTCGAATAAATTTTACAAAAGTTGAAATTTATCAATTTTTTTTAGAATTATTGATTGAACCTTTGAAGGTCTGAAAGCGTCACAGATGGTCTTTCTGTTGACGCTGCGGTGTTATGCTTCTCTACTGAAGGTGCCAGACACAAAGAGGGGGTAAAAAGGGGAGTTTAGAGAGGAAAACCCCAACCTAACCGCTGAACTAAACGGAACGTTTGCAACGCGCGAATGTTGGCTTGGGCAGAGTTAAGAAATTTAGTGAAGGATTATAAAAAGAAATTTCATGAGGAAATTTCAAGAAACATACAACACTGAGAATGCAGGATTAAACCCTTAGAAACTTATGAATCTCCTTAAGTCCCTATATACACACGTGGTAAACTGTGAAAGGGAACTTTAGAAATGCCCAGAAAGTTGAGTAAAACAGCAAAAACATAATTTTGAATTTTTTTGGTTGAACACACAGCCGTACCGGTTGAACACCAAAATAAATTTTACGGATAAAGTAAGACGTTAGCTTTCATATTTGGAACAAAACAAATTTCTTAACTATAAAGAATCCCAGTACCCCTTAATAGTCTATCCTTCTTTTTTGGTACAAAAGGGAGGGAGGGATCTTAAACTATCCTTGAAACAATTTAAATGATTTTTCAGAAATTAACAGTTTCCTTCGCCAACATATTTCTTTTTTTACATAGGAAATATTTGATAAGTAAGTAGCTCCAATTGGTCTAATTGACGATTATTATCCTCTTTAAAAATAAAAACACATTCTGTTTGAAAAAACAAGCATTTTTGACATTTTTTCAGTCGAAAGAAATTTCATGGGGAAAAAAGAAAATTCATGAAATTTCTTGTGAAATTTCACGAAATTTCATTCGATGAAATTTCTTTTAGCAACTTTGGGCTTGGGGTAAAAATTTCAAAATTTAGAATCACTGTTTCTAGACGTTTCTTAGCCACCTGAATGTATCCCCAGAAGTTTCAATATATTTCATGATACAGGGTTATTCAAAAGTTACGCACCACTGGCCATAACTTTAGTTCTAATTATGATATCGATTTACGGTTTGTGGCGTCCTTCCTCATATCGAGGGGGAAACTTTTTGAGGTACTTTTCAGTTCTTCACCCCCCCCCCCCAG